GAATTATATGAAATTCGTAGACTAAAAAAATTTCAATAATAAATATCACAACTGAATATTTCAATATACAATAATCTTTTTATTAGGCGTTCAATTTATTAAACACATGCTAAGATGGTCTAGTAAAAATATTTTAGACAAAAAAAGGTTATTGTTCGAAGTTTGGTCTGTTCATTATCAGAAGTTCTAGCATTTATACAAATATTCGCATATTTCTAATTTACTTTTAAAAAAATAAGTAATGATACAGTTATACAGTTAGCACAAAAAATGGATGCTAAATATAAATGAAAAAATAAAACATCAAATATTCTGTAAAAAAAAGGGAGAGATTATAGATTATAAAATTTCAGCTTATAATATATTCGTAAATGTATTATAACGGCTGATGGTGTTTTTTTCTATCCCCTTCCCCACCTGTAGTAATATCATAATAGAAATTTGTCAATTTGGCAAAAAAAGGCAATACGACGTAGGACAACACCCACTCCACATAACAATAATAATAATGCAAGCAACTAAATTATCAACATCAGTGTAACTTCAATCATATGAAGAAAAAAGTGGGTTAAGCCACGCATAACGTATATTCACGTGATAAAAAGTGAGACCAAAGGCACTTGAAAACGTCCTTTGTCTTTCTAACCATGAAGATTATGAAAATGGTCATTACTGAAAAAGCCCTTCTTAAATCACAAAACACATGCTTTTCTCATCCATTTGCTCCTTCTTTCACCATCTCTAAAGATATTTCCTTTTACAATTAAAAAAAAACTGATCATCTCATTTTTCTTGGATGCTCATCTTAGAAATATTCATACATAACTTCAGGGCTTAGACATTCATGCTAGTCAACGACATTTCAGTGCCGATATTTGAGACCTCACTCATCGTAAGGTTAGCGGTATCAATCGCATGTGATTCCTCGTCATACGCCACTGTACTCACCATGTCGACGTTGCTATGGACAGATGTCTCCACAATTTCTTCCAACTGCCGCTGGACATCCTGCAGGTTTGAGTTACGGAGTCTCACGTGTTCTAGAAGCTCTTTTCGGAGGTTTTGAGCGTCTTTTTTTTGGCGCTCCAAATTCGCCTTCTCCCATTTAATCTTGTCCAGCCACGTGGCAGTGTCCTCGGATATCCCCCGCTCAAGAAGCACATACAGCTCCGGTACTCGGCTACCCATCTCGAGAAGCTGATCGCGGACCTCATTGTATTGCATCTGCAACTTCTTCAATTCACGTTGAAGGTGACTATATCGCGCCTCCAGCGTATGATAGGATGACTCGACCTGCGTGTTGCGCTCCATTACTGTGTTGTAGTTATCCTGCAACGTACGAAGTTTATTTTCTAGTATGTACACCGTCTCCTGGCGGAGGTCCGCGGTGTCGGTCTCTTCGTTGAGTGAGTTCCGCAGCATCGCGACGAGGGCGTGCTGCTGCTCCACACGTTGATTACAGTCCCGCACCACAGTATCGATTTCGGTCAATAAATATGTGTTAGAACGCGTTAAGTTATCGATTTGCTTCCTGAGAAGATCCAGTTCTAATTGATGTTGCTCGCGATACGCAGCATCTACGGCGGTGTGCCGTTCTTCCTTGGCGTGTACAACCCCAAGCTCGGTGCGAAGCGTCGCAACCTCTGATTCTAGGAACTTGTTCTTTTCTAAGGATGCTTCTAGCTCCTTTTGTAGAAATTCTCTCAGAGTCCCTATATCCGGCGCTGTCCTGTGAATTGCTTGAGTGTTTGGCATCAAGAAGATCTCATCATCCTTTGGGATGTATCGTTTTGGAGCAGAGACGTGGGTGTTATCCTTCGCTTCACATGAGGACCCCGTACTGAACTCCTCCTTTGAGGTATTACTCAGGTTACCCTCACTGTCTGACAGAAGCCCACCCTGCACCTCTGTGGCAGCTTTCATCGCTAGATGACACCGTTCCTCGAGGGAACTATACGCACTCTGCATGGATGCAAGCTTTTCTACCATAGAATTGAAGTTTTCTTCAAGATCTACGGTTCGGTCGTCTGCGGCCTTGAGCTTGATGGATAAACGCATGTTTTCCACCTCACATAGACGCAATGCTTCCTCCGCAGCAGCTTGCTTTTCTAGGCTCTCTTCTAGCGCTTCGTTTCTTGCTTTGAATTTTTGTTTTATAAAACTAACATCATCAGTTCCCAATTCAAGCTGCTCTCGGACTTCGGTGAGTAATTCACTCTGGTACAATACCTGAGCTCGTTGAAGGCGAGATTGTCTCAACAGAAGACTGACAATATTTTTGAAATATTCCTGTTCAATCTGATAACGGTGCTGGGACTCATCAAAGAGACACTCGTACTTTAGTTGCGTGTTAAGGAGATCAAACGAAGTGTGGAGATACTGTTGATTGGGGTTTGTTGACTCCGCTAGAATGTTATTAGACTGTTTATGGTTTGTTAGTGTTGATCGAGTTGCTACAGCATGATTTTTACAGTTCTCTATCTCCCTGAAAGAGTTTGCAGGTGGGAAAGAAGGAGGGGATAGCAAGGATATTTGGTTGAAGCGCTTTTCCTTGTTTGAACGCATCCCGATTCCCTCTACAGCATCAAAGAGCAGTTTATTTGTAAAGATTTGCTGGAGCTCACTTATCGTGCGGTAGAAGCGCATGCGGAGGTAGTACCGTTCTGATGTCTCAGTCTCCTCCAGTAGCATCAACTCTATCTCATTGATATCGGCGTACCGCTCATGAACCAGATTGATATAATGGTTGCGCTCTTTTTCCAAGAGGGAGGCTCGAAGAAGAAGCTCCACATTGGTTTGCTTCTCATTGAGGTAGCTCTCTCGAGTCTCCAAGAGCTGTGAAGCAAGAGAAGCAGCGTGATCCTGTGTGCTCTTCCGTACTTCCGGCGAAGCTGATGGTAATGCGCCCTTCACTGCCGCTAGCTCGCACTGTGTCGTTTCTAAAAGACTCATTGTTTTTTGCATGCGTTCGTGTAGGGAGGCTAGTTGGCGTTTACTTTCATCATAGCGCACACGATAGCCATCGCATTCGTCCTTTAAGGCTTGTGCTGAGTTTTTCGCTTCTGAAACGGAGTGTCTTGCATCCTTGAGACTTTTCTCAAGGCCCTGAACTTGCTTACCAAGTCGTGATACTTCCCTGTTAAGCTTCTGCTGTTTAGAATCAATAAATGGAACAGAATCGATGGAAGTATTGGTGCTAGAGCCGACGTTTGTGTCGCCCTTTCGTCGATTTACAAAGCCTGAAACTAAAAAGTTATTACAGTTATCATTAGGTTGACGCTGTGTACTACTAGGGGAATGCGGCGCCTGCCTAATCTCTTTATCATAGGCGCTTTTTAGACTCATCAGCTCGGCGCGGCTTTTGGACAGCTCTTCACGTAGAGTTGACGTAGAGGTCAGGAAGCGCTGCTGATGTTCAAGCTTCTCGTTACGAAGCTTTCCATTTTCCTCTTCAAGCTCTGCTACACGTTTTTTCAATAATAACATGACAGAATTATCAACTTTTGCAGCCTCCTTAGCCTTCAGGGCGTTGCTCTCAATGCGGAGTTCATCCCGTTCCGCCTTGAGGGACTCAATTTCAGCGATATGAACCTCAGCCGCCTTACCAGTTTCCAATTGAAGCGTTAGGCGCACAATCTGTCGACGGAGGTCCAAGACAAGTTTTTCTAGATGTTGATCCTCGTTGACAGAGGCCACATTGATAATTTTCTTCGCGACACCGGCAAATCGAAGCGTATTTAATGTCTGCGCGTGGCAGTACGCAGTCGGCGCGACGGTGGCGAGAAGAATTGTCTTGCTATTCCCGCCAATACTATCCGAGAGGAGCCAGGTTAGCGCACTCTCGCGATAAGCAGGAATGACATGCTTCCCGGACTGTTTATCAGACAACTGTTGAATCACACGACCGAGGCTCGATAGCGAGAGGTTAATATTCCGAGTCTCCTCAAAACGAGTCCCAACGGCACCCGACTGAGAAACACGCTCGCTCCCCGCTAAGTCGACTAAGCTGGCCTTGCAAACGCACGTCTTGGGGACCACCCCAGCCTCGTCCGACACCGCCGTCACCTTTGTAATCTTAAGCTGTAAAATGGCATGACTTCGGCTGCTATGTTCATTCATTTTGGTCTCAGCCGTGACTCGATCACGCATGCCGCTGGTCAGGCTTTTAATCACACTCGCCGCATCGCGCACACGAATATGTGAAAGACCTTCAACGTACGGCCCGTTGATGGGGTGCTGGCGAATCCGTAATGAACCCACATTCGAGTTGGGGCTGCTTTGACTACTACCGCGAGCAACTAACAAATCTCGAACCTTCTCGCAATAAATCTCTAGAAAACTCAACTCGACGGTGTACGAAACCGCCTCATCTTGTTCCCGCTCCTCCCGCATACACTGGAATAGGTCAGCGCTGAGACGCGGGATAATACCATAGCCAGGTTCCGTGTGAGTCGGGACCCCTACAAGGGGTTGTGTTTTTTTCACCATTGATGTCGTCGAGGCAAAAAGGATCTCGGAATCCCCCATCATGCTATAGCTCTTGCCGCTTCCGGTCTGCCCATAGGCAAACAGACAGGCATTGAAGCCTTTCATCACAGCCGCATAAATGCGGGGCCCAATAAACTCATAGACCGACGCCTGGCTGTCGTAGGCCGGGGCGGAAGCCAAGCAAGGGAGGGTTTGTGATAAGGGCGAGGCCGCCGAGGCCCCTCCCCCCCCCCCTGACGACCACTCCGCAGAGTTTGCACAGCTCGAGGCCATCCGTGAGAAATCCGTCTGGGGTGATAAAAAGGAAAAATTACACCGTTCGCTTGTCAAGCTCGTCCTGGACAACGGCAGCACGTCCACCGGCACGCTCCAGAATATTTTGTCAAAACTAAAGGAATGTTCAAACGGAGTGCAGCCATGCCCCGTGGTCGTCTGGGTGAAAAGAGGTGACCCGGTGTTCACGCACACACTGCTAATAGCACCAAGGGGCGGAGTACCATTACTGCCTCCGCTATTAGTACTCCCGAAAAGCGCGGGTAAATCAGTCAGCGTGATCGTTTTACTATTCGGAACTGTAATTGCGCACGAAAATGGATCCTCCTTCGGGCCAAAAGGACGAACACGGACCGCAACAAAGACAGCTGAAGACTCCGTGGTCATTGGTTCAAGGAAAAATATATCTGGAGACCCCTTTCAAACAATAATAGTTAGAATGTCTTCGAACAGATAAGGAAAGTGTGTTTATATACTTCTAGTTATAAGATGTTACCTTTCCCCTCCCTTCCCCCTTTTAATGTTTTATAAATGTAAGCTCTAGATTTTAATCAAGGGGTTATATATTACCTTTTAAGAATTTCGGAGTAAAGTAGACGTTTTTTTTGCTTAAAGTTGTGTACTTCAAAAACAGAAAAAAAAATTGTGAGGTTCTACTAATATGACAAAAAAAAGCAGAATAATAGGATTTCCACTATTGTCATCCGTATTTTTTCTTATTCGTTAATTGAAGGAAAGGCAAAACTCAATGAAGATGTGTGGGGAAAAAAATGAAAACAGTAAAAACATGCAACTACGACCACACTTTTGATTTGTGATATACAAACATAATCAATACCAGAAAAAAAAAAGGCATTCACATTTCATTCGTTGGTTCCAGTTCACCCACCCATTTCTTTCTCCTATGGTACTGGAAAATGAGGTGAAGAAAGAAGATATACAATGATAAATTCAATCCCCAAACCAATACTTTTGAGAAAGACACCTACAATCACCAAAAAATAAAAAATAAGTACCTGGTATAAACACACAGAAACAGGTCCCTGAATAATGTCTATACTTCCCATGGATGCTCAGTGTAATTTTTGGTGATTTTTTCCTCATGGTGCATTTTTTTCACGGTCCCTTTCCCAATTCCGGCGTGAAGAGAAAATAATCATAGGGAATCTCCTCCCTCACGACACTTTTTAGTCGAGTTGTTGCATGCAGTGGAAAAAATGCTGAATATTGTTTCGCTTCGATTCTGTAAAGCGGGGCACGTATGCCGCAAAGAAAGTTTGTTTAGCCTCAGACAAGCGTGAAAAATCAGCAGGTGTGATGGTTCCTGAGTGGTCTAGATCAAAAAGATAACAAAACAATTCACTCTCTTCCGGTGTAAGCCTTGGGATGTCCTCACATGAGCGAAGAGCTTGATTTAACTGTGAGGGCATCAGACCCGTTGGCCGCACAAGCTTTTTCAGTGTAATCCTGGCATGCTTAGCATTGGCCGTGTAGAGCTCACTTGTAAGCTGTCTAATTTGGTCATGAACTTTCTCTCTATTGAACTCCGGAATCGCACCCGCGATAAGCTGTGATGGCAGGGCAGGTGGTTCCGCATCCAGCGCGAGTTGAAGGGCGTGGGATACCACATCGGATTCACGCATAATCTCAAAAATGGTCTCGTAGAGGTGCCATGAAACATTTGGAAGGACGCAGCCACTCCCAGTCCCACTGTAAGGGGATGAACCACTAGAGAAAGATTTTTTACCCATTTTCTTTTTCTTCTCCTTCTTTGGCATCATTGGCCTGGACTCCAGCTGGTGTGTTAATATCTTGTGAAAATCATCACAGTGAATGAACCCTGTGTTTGAAGGGTCAAAGATCCCGAATTCGATCGCACGCAACTCCCATCTCAGAAAGTTTGAACGGTGCCAGAATGAATCAAACGAAAAAAGCTTTTTCTCTGCATCTGTTCGCATAGCATCCTCACGATCATTGAGGTGGTTCCTTTGATTAGAGGTGCTCTGTGGATGAATGGACTCTGGTGGTACAAATTCATGGCGTAATATCGGCCCATAGACAATCCTCTCAACCAAAGAAAAAGGTAAGTTGAAGCTTAAATCCTTGTTACGAAAGGATCCTGCAGAACGGACGGATAGGGACTTGTCTGCTTCAGTCTCTCGGAAAGAAAAAATTGACCGGATGGAAAACCACGATGGGAAAATCGATGTATAGTTGGCATGGATGCCTAACTGTCGGTTGGATTGCTTGTCATAATCTGTCTGGCTCTTAGGTTCTTTTTCGTTGATTGTCGTCAAAGGGCTCCTACTCATCATTCGAGACTCCCCGGCCTCGTGCCCATCACTGCCTCCCCATACGTCCTTTATCTGCACGGCAGGATCAATCATAATAGTGTTCAACAATAACGCCAATTCAGGGGCGTTGAGCCGTCCGTCGCTGTCTAAATCAAACAAGCGAAACGCGCGGTATAATGTGGAACGCCGTGTGGAAAGCATGGTGAAAAGCATAATAAACTCAGCGTAGTTGATTTTGCCATTATAGTCCAAATCTACTGCAGTAAAGAAGTTCTTCATCTTAGTCTGCACGATAGGTGGGAATTGTTGTAGGGATACCATTGGGTAGGATTCAGTTTGCGTCATCTTGCCTTGCTCTTTAGAATTTATCTCATGGCAGTTTGAGTGGGACAAAGAAGCGTGGTTTCGATGTAATGGCTCCATCAACAACATACATGCTATAAAGTCATCCAGATTCTGGACGTACTCGCCAGTTTCCCCATCTCGTCGAGCATAATTTAAAAAACGTGCTTTTGATTCCTTTGGTATTTTGCTTTCTGTGTACGAAGAACTGCTTGAAAGAGAGTGTTGCTCTTGAGCCTCCGCACCACTAAATAATCTTGAAACTGAATAACAAGGTGACGGAGAACCTGAAAAAGGTCTGCGCAGTTTACAGCATGAAGTAAAATCCACATCCCGATCATTCCCATAATTAGGATCGTAGAGATTGTAGTCGTCGTTCAGATGTATGAATTGGTAGTATCGATTTGCTACGAAAACACCAATAAATAGGCCACCAACAAGGCCCGAAAAGGCATGCGAAACTTGCTTAGTAAGCTTTATAGACATTATGATGTATGGTTACATATGTGTTCATATATATTATTAAATCCTAACCTTTTATTTGAACGTATAGGTTGGATAATTAAAAGGGTAGCAGGTTCTGAGAAAACAATGTATTTATGGCAATTAAATAAAAAATAGTAATACAAAAATTGGAGATAATATACCCGCCTCTTGGTACTTTAAAAAGTGCAGTTAATGTCAGACACATTGTAAACAAGATATCAGAGTGTGCCGAACTGAGCGAATGTAAATTAATAAGGTTTACATACACCAAATAAAAAGCCAGAGAGGAAGTGAGGGAATCCATTTCTACCAATGGATTCTTTTGTTGCAAGTTCAGTTTTCCATTTTCTAGTATTCCAAAGGCTAAAATTGTATGTTGTAGATTCGCCATTTGGTATAACACCTTTTAGTGGTATGAAAAAAACGGGCCTACTAATGTGTTGATCAAAGCCATAATTGATGTGCGCAATTACCTTCAGCTCTTGGTTCGCAGACACCAATCCAAAAGAACGTCCCCGATTTTGATATGACACGGTATCTCTTTAAGAGAGTCGGAACAATGAAAGAAAGTAATAAACTAGGTATAATGATAAATAAGGATCTAACCCTCAGAAACACTGGGAGTTTAGAAAAAAAATATTACACTACCGGAAATACTGTTCCATAGAAAAAGTTTAACTAGATACCTGAATATCTGAGAAACTTATTAGATACATCTGCTCTTCTATGGCATAGTCCTTTTTGTTTGATCCTGCTGTATTATTTGTATTAGTGGACTCCCTAAATCATTTCTTTAAGGGAGAGATGGCATAGATTCTTAACCCAAACAATCACAATCATAGTTTCAAATAGCCACGAACTACACTTTCAAAGGAATCGATAAATTCTTCAAAGGTTTCGTTATGGGAACACAACATCTCAACCTCAGAGGGTGTGATATAAAAGTTAAAGCAGCGCTTCCTCTCTGTGTTCTTACTGATGACGGGCTCATCGCCGCAGCTGTCGTAGTGGTGGGGTTTCGCTGAAATAGTCTTCCCGCCCGCAGCCTCCGCCTCAAGTTTGGCTATCCGTTCCCTTAAAATATTTACTTGAGCCTCGGAAAGTTTGCGATGTGGAATACGAGCCGCGGCCACACCCGTGGGCACGCTCCTCATTTTACTGCTGACATCTGTGTAGTCTGGAATCCCATTACTTGGAACTTTTTCAGGTAAAATACATAACTTACCCTCTTGATACATATGATTGGTACTCTTGTCTTGCTTGTACTTCGTATTTTTTAGCTCCATTAATGAGGACCCTGTACTTTTCTCGGCTTCATCCACTTTATGATCTAGCTTGTCGGCAGAACATCCGTTCTCTTCATTCATTGTAGTAGGGCCAGTTGGATGGAGAGTTTTAGGCTGTGTGGTCATCATGGCATCGCTATGTTCCTTTCTAAAAGTTGTTGTGAGACTTTCCATTATTTCCGTTAAGGACACACCTGACGGTGGCGCAGAGTCGCCAAAATGAAGACCAGCGATCGCCGCAAGGTCCTCAAAACGCACAAAATCCATTCGAACCCGTAGCGAGATGCGTCCAGGACGAACAAGCGCCGGATCAAGTCGCTCTGGGTGGTTTGTGATCAACACAACCATACGACCAGGTGTGTCCACAACACCATCCAGGATGTTAAGCAACCCCGAAAGGTCCAATTTATCGGCCGTTTGAAGCATCTCCAGTATGGAATACTTAGATTTCCTGCTCAAGGCAAGTTCAGACTCAGCCGCAATCAGTTTAAGCAAATCCTTCTTAAATTCATTTCCGGTGGGGATGATGTAGTCCGATTTATCAAAGTCACCAGTATTGTGGGGGCTTTCCATACCCGCAGACTGCATCAAAGGGTGCATACCTGGGATTCCCAACGTCGCTTCGGGGCTAGAAGACCCCCCGATGTGAGCCCTATAATTACCTTCAGTCATCTGGTTTGTTTGCTTTAATTCTTCCAAGTATACAATATGCTCCTCGAACTCTTCTCTTTTCTCATCCATGGGGTCCATTTCCTTAGCAGTAAGCACAGCCGGCTTACGCCATTTGAACTTTCTTTTCCGCTCCCGCGTACACACAAGTGGGCTGGTTGCGTTCACATCGTCAAGGAGAAAAATTACCTCATCCATCGGCACCGTGTGTACATCCGACTCTCCAACACATACATAATTAGGGTTAAGGAAAATATCGAAAAGCTGCTGATTGGATTTGACAAGTGAAAGTGGAACTGAGACGATATGTCGCCCGGTATACGCGGCGAGCGCCTTCACAAAAGACGTCTTCCCAGTCCCGGGAGGGCCGTATAGCAAGAACCCAAGCTTATGTGGAAAGCCTTCTAGCGCAAACCGTCCACGGTGAAAAAGGAAGTCGTCCACAAGCTTTAAAATGCGCTTTCGATCGGGGAAAAAAAGTGTGTCGAAGTTCTTATCATCACTCAAAGTGAATCGCTTGAAAATAGACTTAGAATTGCTGGAGTTATTGACAAAGAGATCCTTCTCATTGGTTGACTGGAGTTCATAGAAACTTCGAGTGCTTTTGTTCAAATTTGGCAGCTGCGAAATGTAGTAGTTTAAGCATCGTTGTGTGAAGAACTCCAGACGTGCGGCGGCATCGTACCCTTTCGCTCGCAAACTCACTGTGCGCTCGACGGTGAGAGTGCCTGAGATGCGAACATGCCGACGATGATAATTAATTTCGATGTGAGCCTCATCCTGCGTATCGACCCAATCTCCCCCAATCGGCAGTCGTATGAGCAGCAACCGCTCAAGATGCTTAACCGATCGTCTGACGCCATGGGTCACCATGTCGTCGTCTTTTTCACTTGAAGAAGAAAGAAAAAATGGCGATGCGCGACTTTCAAACACACGCGACTTGAAAGGATCCATCAGAAGAAGGGTGGAGGCCTTGTTGCACCAGGTCTTTGGTGGAATCGCCTTTTTACTCCACACATGTTGTGAAAGGTACATAAAAATAGCATTCTGAAGAAGTGTGTTTCGGTCGTTCGGCATGCCGTTGATGTGAAAAACAGCCGCTGAGATAGAGACAATGTTGCGCACCACCCAACCTCGATACTCTGAGTAAACATCATGTAAAAACGCAAGTGCGATCGGCCAAAGCGTGCGTGCAATACTAACAAGGAAAACGATCAAAACTATGAATACTTCGGCCTTTAAATGAGAATAACTTCCAACAAGAGCACCCAAAATTGTCTTGGGGTGTTGTAAAAAGATAGTGCCCTTTGACATCACAACATCCCCGAGATCGGTGGTAGTTCCATTCGTGATATTGAACATGATTATTTTGCAAAGTTAACTACCAAATAGACGTATATATATATAATTATAATTATTTATTTAAATCGTTTTGCCCTCAAATAAAATACAAGACAAAAGAGAAAGGTGAAAAAAAAAGATACCATAGTATAGATTACAGTTTACTCAACCCTCTCCGTGATAGGTTCGATAGACCTTTTAGAATATATATAAATATTGGTATTGGGAAGAATAATCAGGGATAATATCGTCATACAATTAGCATAACTGAAATAGTAATGCCGGTAATAAGATGATGTGGGAATAATCTTTATTTACATAGTTACACCTTACCCACTCCTCGATCGCACATGGTAGTCATTGGGGTTTCTTCTTTAGAGAAATTAGTTCAGTCAAATAAAACACGTTAAGAATCTGAATATTTCAACTCCTTTTGTCGCTTTTCCTTCCGCTGCTGAAGCTGCCAGAGGTTGGGGGTTTCAAGTGGGTATCGTTGAATGGTCCGGAAGCGCTCATCGGCGCCAGCATACATCTTCGAGGACGGATCTGCCTGCACACGGTTAAATGTGAGGCTGTAGTCTGTATAGCCGACGCGGCCGAGACTGGGCCTGGTGTTATGCAGGCGCAATGAGGGGGTATAGGAGGTGATCCATTCCATCTCCCGTGCGCGATGCCTTCGTTGGATGTCCTCAAAGGTGGTTGAAGGTGGTTTATTGCTCTCCGTAAGCTCGACCCGACCTCTACTGAAAGGGGGTGCCACCACGCTTTGTTCTTCTTGTACGGTCTTTTCTTGACGTAACACGACTTGTCCAGAACCCACTACATCCAAATCGGTAGGAATGTTGTCTTCGGCTGCAGAGAAATCTTCGCGGGGGGAAATCAAAGGAAAAGTACTTGCCGCCTCTCGACGACGGCTCCGCTGGTGGTGCCGCGCCACAAGGGCGTTTCGACAATATGGGTTGACAAGGGGATCATCGTACTCCAACTGCCCACCGCCACGAGCAGTGGTGGTAGCATACGCGCGGGGCCTATCATCTCCACTCGAACTCGTCGTGTTAACTGTATTGCCATCGATTTCGAGGTGATTTAATGTCCTTCTCGAAGTTGTCTGGAGAGTTGATGGTTGCATCGCGCTAATAAAATGGTTTTCAACAGTCTTGATATGTCCCTTTCCACGCTTGTTATCGGACAGTAGAGCGATAATGGTGGGGTGAACGGGTTCTGGAATCGTTGCTTGAGGCATCCTTCTCCGGCATCTTCCGGAAATGCTATCAAGGTCTTGGCATTTTATCACATCTTTGGCCTCAGAGTTAGGTTCCTCCTTTTTGACACCATTTGATAATAAAAATCTTACATTTGTGGAGGGTGCTTCTTCAGCCACTGTTATCTGGGAAGGCTTCGGCAAAGATTCATTCTGGGCATTCGTCTCTCCCTTCATCCTCCTATGTTGAAGCGAGGTCTTGGTAGAGGGTTGCCGTACAGTTCCATACTCGGAGCGGCAAAGGATCGCCCCAACAGACAAAGGGTGCCCTCTGCATGATCCTTTAGCCTCAGATTTAGCGGTCTGTGGCTTTAAGAAAAGTCTTTCAAGCTCCCGGATGCGTTCTGCTTCGAACGCTCGGCGATTGCTATGTCCAGTTAACAAACGTTCTCGGTGTTTTGGGAGGCTACTGAGCTCAAATCGTTGCAAATCTATAGGAACAGAAGCAAATAACGCGTTCATAGTCATTATGCTATGTGTTGGTGCCTATGTATTTGCGCTTTGGGATTATTGTTTGATTTTTGATATTTAAAAGCAATATCATGGAAATAAAATGTAAGAAATATATTTATCAAAATAAAAGCAATATTATGAAAACAGGAAATGATGAATAACATATATATATGACCATACGTTCTCGGGTAAAGCAACGAGAATGTAATTATTTCATGTAAAATTCATCCACTCAAATAAACAAGCCCTTTTAACCATAAGCGTGAAGTGATTTTCAGTAGTCTGGTGGTGTGGTCCAAAAAGAAGAAACATGTGTGAGCTCTTATAAAGACGCCAAAGGCCTAGCAGCACGCAAATATGGAATTATAGGTGTATCGATAGTGAGCCTATCAGATACGTTACCACACGCCTTATAAACGGTGCTGCAGCAAACAACCGAATAGATGTCATGGTCGCTCCAATAAGTAACTTCCATCGAACACTAACCTAAGTACTTTTTACGTAGTTCAATTATAGAGACCCCTGTTACATTAATGTGACAGGTGCAAAATAAAGAACGGCATCTCTGGTGGAGGTGTGGGAAAGTGAACAAAAAAGGGAAGATAACAAGACCTGTCAGGAATGAGGACTGTGCTGTAGAACCAACTGAAAATAAACGATTCGCATTTATTGTCACTCTAGTGCCTAGTTGTTGTATAAAGTTTGTCTTTACTCTTTCCGGAGAAGAAAAAAGTGCCACACCTATTGAGATAAAGAGGCCTGATAAGGCCTAAGATATATATTTATTTATTTAAGATAAAAAGGGGAAAAAACATCAATGTAAGAAGAATTATAAAACGTAAATGTATATCATATCCGTAGTATCCAATGATCAACTACATGTGTGAGAAAGAACACACAAATTTGCCCACTTATTTTTTATAGAATGAAAGAACTAAAATAATAATAATAATATATTTGTGAGTTTGCCATGGCCCTTTTCTTGGTCTGGATAGCACAAGGAGGC